GTTGGTGAGTCGCTTTGGACTTGTGGTGGTGTGGTGAAAACTGATGTGGTGAAGTGGGCGTATGTGAAGGAGAAGGTTCTGGTTTGCACTCCATGAATGGTTTGCCTTTGGCGGGAGGCGGACTGCGGCTGCGTGAGAAAGACGGCTGCGGTTGCAGTGGTGGAGGAGTGCGTCTGGCTGGTCTTTGGGGAGAAGGTGGAGTGGTAGTGAGTGGGTGATGTGCTTGTTGTGGTAGTTGCGGTGTAAATGGTGGAAGGTTTTGAAAAGTAGTAGCAATGGAGGTGGCTGCTTGAAGGTGTGCTAAAAGAAGTCGATGGGCAAATGCTGTGTCCAAAGGGGAAGTCATCGTCGTGGTACTCGTCGGGAAGCAAATATAGCTCGGCTGGTCGTCAGGGATCGAGCTCAATATTTAAGATAATACAAAATGGCTGCGGGACAGGTTGCAAAACAGAGGAAATCTTGCGACTCTCTTCGAAATGCTTGTGACTCTCTTCGAACAGCTTGATATCAACCAGGAATGCTGACATGCTGCAAGTCTGGAAAGTTGGAAAAGTGACCGTAAAAATCATGTTGTCGGCATCAATCTGTACAAGAATAACATATCGGAAGAAAAGGGAGTTGACAACGATGTGTGAGAAAAACTGAATCATTATCAATATCAGGCAGGCTGGCTGAGATTGTTTGAGGCTCGGTCGTCATCCAAAATATGAGGTGAAAAATGAACCTCGAGAGCTGAATAGATTGAATTAAATGAAACTGAGCGGTGGCTTTGCATCGCTTTTCCAAGCTATCCCTTCTATTCTGGAATGTTTGGGATGGGCCACCCAGCATTTTCCTGGGGTGTATTTTACAATCCCTTCTCCTCTGAGCAGCAAGTCGTTCGCTGCGGATTCGCCACCATGAGTGACTTTCTGGCCGTGTCCATAGGCTTTGATCGTTAGAATGAGGCCGCTGCGGTTCTTGGCCATGTTGGAAGCATTGAAGAGAACGCGTGCAGCTTCAGCAGCATCATGGGGCTCATAGTTCGACAATTCGAACGCCTGACAAAAATATCCCACATTGTGATCATCATGCAGAATGGATCGCACGATTTCTCCTGCTTCAAGTATTGAAATAATGTTGCCCTCCTCGCTAACGTGTGCCGCAAAAATGTGTTTAATAGGTGGTATGTTCAGCGCCTCTCTCCGTGTAGGAGGAAGAATCGGGGCGTCGCCCCTGCTCGCTAATGTGGGGATTGTGAGTAGTAGGAAGGAATAATGTTCTTCTTTGTTGGTGTCATCGCTCCATTTTTTGTGGGTGAGAAGTTGTAGGTCGGTAAAGTGGGTGCTGTTGAGATGAGCTGCACTGAGTACCTTGGCTACGTAGGAGAGCATGGGTTCATTTTTGACATCAAGTGCTTGTGCGTAGCGGTTGAGCCATTGGAAAACATCCAATTGTGCTGGATCAGTGGGTGGTTGGAATGTTGGAGGAGGCAAGTTGTGAGGTCGACGTTGGACTGGAATTGCAGGTGTTGATGTTGGTGGTGGTGGTGGTGGTGGAAGTGTCTGTTTTGTGGGATGTTTGGGAGTAAAATGTGGGTTGGGCTTGAGTGTAATGCTGGAAGTACGGTGAGGTGGCTCTGGAGTGTGTTTTGCAGTAGTAGCCGTAGTGATGTTTTGGATGGAAGTGTGAGCTTTGTCTTGGGTGATTGCTGGTGATGGTGATGCTTGTCTATCTGCAGGTTTGGATTGCGCTTGAGAACTAGCCATGGATTGTGTGGCGGAGCTTCGTCGTCTTGGTAGTGGAGAGCGTGTGGTACGTAGTGATCGAGTGCGGCTCCTGGATCTGGATGTAGCTTGTGATGGTGCAATGGAAGGTACGGCTGGAAAGGCTGAGTAGCGGTGGTGTTCAGGTGTGCGTGGTGGTGAGCGATCTGGGTCGCGCCAAATGCCTCTTGTGGTGCTGAGTGTGGGTGCAATGGATGGTGTTGGCTTGGTAGTGCGTGGAATGTGGTGTGGTGGCGGAGGCTGTGCGGGTGTGTTGATGGATGCTGAAGCAGGTTGAGTAGTCGCTGGTGAGGGTGTTGAAGTGTAAGGTGGTGGTGGTGGAGTTGGTGTGGTCAACTGCTGTGAAGTGATTGTTGTTGGATCAGGTGGTGGTGCTTGTAGTACATCAGGTGCTTGTAGTGGTGGTGGTTGAAATGATGTTGTGGCAGGGGTTTGATTCGTCGTGTGTGGTGATGGATGTAGTTGATGTGGTAGATGTGGCTGATGTGGTTGGGGAGGTAAAGGTGGTGGTTGAGGTTGAGATAGTGACTGAAATGGCAATGTAAGATGTGTGTGGGCTTGGGGTTGTGGTGATTGAGTTGTGAGATGCGGATGTTGTTGCGCAAGTTGAGTAGTGTCGAAGGGAGCCGTAGGTTGCACTGGAAAATGTGCCTGAAGTTGATGTGGTTGGATGTATTGAGCATGAGGTGGAGGTGCAGTGGGCAATGGGTAGTGATGTGAGGTTGGGTGTTGTGGTGGAGTCGGTGACAGTGTTGGAAAAGGTTGTGGTGAAGCCTGTGGTGGATATTGAATCCAATGGGGTTGTGTAGGTTGTGGTTGTGGATGGATGTGTGGCGGCAAAGAATAGGGCCAGGGATACGTCATGGCTGCTCGGCAAGTCAAAGACAGTGAAAATATGTATGTATGTATGAAAATAAATAGAGGTCCGTGAGGTCGAAAAAGTTGTGGCGTGTATTGAATGACCGCAATTAAATTCTGGAAAATGGAGTTAAAACTTGGAAGGTTAAAAAGATTTGAAAGGAATGAATGGATTTCCGGGTGAAACTCTTTCAGTTAACTCTGCAGTGGGATTCAGAAAGGATTTCAGTGAACTCTGCAGTAATCTTCACGTGTGCTGGGTGAGACGATCCAAGCTGATTTCGAGCAGGTCAAATTCAGTCTAAGGGACTTCAGAGAAAATTCAGGAAACTTACTCCCTCGATGAGGAGTGATCAGGTTCTTGCGGTAACGGCGCCCCGTAGGGATCACACAGCTCACCACAGTGGGAAGAAGCTGCGAAGACACACTTGAGAAGGTTGCTCCGTGGAGCGTGATTTCAGGTAGCTTCGCGGTGTGCATTAGCCCTTTAAATCTAGATACTGCAGGAAACAACGTATGAGACGGCGTTGCACTGACTTAGAAATCTCAAACAATTGGAAAATTGCAGGTACGTGAGAGTGATCAGCTCTCATATCCCGTGCGTCAGGTAGCTTCGTTGGACATGGTCCCTGAACGCACGCCATGTCCCCCTGCTTCTGTACAGAAAAGCTTGTAGGGTAGATTAGTAAAGAAAAACTAGAGTAGTGTCCTTGGAAACAGGAGTGGACACACACACACACTTAGGATAGGGTGTACTGAACTGAAAGCGGTGCCACTTCCATTTCCGCCATTTCCTAAGAGAACCAGTAAGGACCATCGAATCCTGGAGGTCTTAAAAGGAAAGGAGGCCAAAAGCGTAAGGTCGAAGACGACGAACAGGGCGAAATGACGACGATCGCTCAAGTCTGCAGCAAGTGAGGTTCTGGGCTTAGCCTCGCGCCATTCCGTTAAAAAAATGCAGGTACGTAGTTCTGGCGTCCCAGAACTATATCACTGTGCGACAGATGCGTCTTCGTTGGCTGGAGACATCTGAAGCACACTCCACCCCCTGCTGCACAAGGAAAACAACTGTGAAGCTAAAACAATCCGAAAGGATCCCTATGATTCCAAGGGTTACACACACACGCCTCCCCGAGGGGAGGCAAGATTTTAAGCTCCGCGCCACAGGTGGTGTGAGACTCGGTGAATCGACGAATCTCACGATAGCAAGTAGTGGTAAGGCCAGGAACCTCTAGTAGCGTCAAAGAAACACCTAACACCTAGTAGGAAGGCCAGGAGCCCCTAGTAGTATCCCAAGCAAAGGCGCCGACAAGAGGGAGGGGTAGGGAGAGACGAGAAAAAGGAGAGAAAAGAAAGGAAGGTGTTCCCAGCTACGACGCATGCGTCCAAGGACACACCAAAGGAAGAGAGGAGAAGGTTCCCAGCTATGACAAAAGCATCCAGGGACACCCAAGGAGGGAGGAAGGAGAGAGAGAAGGAAAGAAAGAAAGAGAGAGGGAGAGAAAGGGAGAGGAGAGAGAAAAAGAAAAAAAAAGGCAGGTGTTCCCAGCTACGAACAAGCGTCCAGGGACACACCAAAGAAAGAGAGGGGTGATCCTGAGTGTTGCATTCAGGAAAACACCAGGAAGCAAAGAAAGAAAGGGGGAAGGGAAGGGGGAGAAGGGGGCTAAGGTCCCAACAGGTTCCAATGAACCTCAAAAATACTTTGACCGCTGTGGTCACCTTGTGCCCTGCCGAAGCGGCTGGCTGCTTAGACCGCTGCGGTCACGTAAAGGCATGAGCCAACTTGGAATTCCTAAGATGAGACAAAATCGGAGTTCTGGTGGCATGAGCCAGCTACTGTCCGCTGCGGACACGTACATCTCCGGGCAGGGGAGATAACGACGTACCCCCGTTCAACGGGTCCACGGGAGGCACGGGCTCATCCCGGGTTGGCACGAGGCCAAACACACTTAGGATAGGGTGTACTGAACTGAAAGCGGTGCCACACGCCGGCCTAGGGTTCCATTTCCTAAGAGAACCAGTAAGGACCATCGAATCCTGGAGGTCTTAAAAGGAAAGGAGGCCAAAAGCGTAAGGTCGAAGACGACGAACAGGGCGAAATGACGACGATCGCTCAAGTCTGCAGCAAGTGAGGTTCTGGGCTTAGCACCGCGCCATTCCGTTTGAAAAAGGCAGGTACGTAGTTCTGGCGTCCCAGAACTATATCACTGTGCGACAGATGCGTCTTCGTTGGCTGGAGACATCTGAAGCACACTCCAGCCCCCTGCTGCACAAGGAAAACAACTGTGAAGCTAAAACAATCCGAAAGGATCCCTATGATTCCAAGGGTTACACACACACAAACGCACCCCCACCACACTTCGCCCAAGGCACCAGTTTGTCCCAAAGCAAATCCAATGAAAAAGCGAGGATTGGATGCATGATTGTCTGAGGGTGGTCGAATCGAATGTAGCTGATCAAAGCCCGGGAGAGCATCTTCGTTTCATCCATGTCTTGCAACAGGTGCTTCAAATAGTAGATCACCGGGCGCAAGTTGTCCTCGCAAGGGAGTGGCGCATGACGCATGGTCCAAATACTTGAGTCAGCAGGGGGCGAACTAAAGGTAGCAAGGCAGAAGGGAAGAAAAACTGCAGCAACAGCCGCAAACCTGCAGCAGGACAGCAGCAACAGCACAGCAGCACACCAACAACATAGTACAGCCTTACAATAAAGAACAGCAACAGGCCAGCAAAGCAGCAGCAGCGAACGAGGAGCAGGCGGAGGAGGGCCAGCAGCAGGTGTGGTGAGCGTGCCCCAGCAGGGATATCAAAATGCACAAAAGGAAGTCGATTTAGTAGCTTCTTGCTACTAGTAGCGATGGCCTCCAACCTAATAGCATCTAATAGCGATGGCCTCCACCCTAGTAGCGATGGCCTCCACCTGTAGCGATGACCTCCAGCCTACTAGCTTCTTGTTACTAGAGACTCTTGCTTTTCGATTCATCACCCTTGTTCCTCACACAAAGGCACCAAGGGGGCCTACCCTCATGAAGAAATATGACTTTCTGAGCATTTGGAACCACAGACTTGTCAATACAGCACATGTTTGCAATACAGCAAGGGAACTCAGGTGGCTCATGATAGCGGACTCGTGATGTGGAGTTGGGACCGATGTGCGATTCTTGACTCAAGTGGTGAACGATTGGCTGCATGCGTGAGAACTCCAAGGCAGCGGGCGAGGTCGAGTAAGCACGTCCAGCCGCGATTTCTGACATGTTCTGACCATGCTTGGCACACTGCTTGGCACTTGAACCGAACAACATCCACCGGTCCTTGCTCTTGTGCGACCTCCAAATCAATCCATCCAACAAGGTCTCCGCCAGGAAGGGCGCCTCGCGCAAAACGTTGTCTGCGATGTTGGGCTGGTACCTCCGCAGTCAATTGCCATGACACTTGCATGGCCTGCATGGAAATATGCTGGGCAGCCTCTCGGGGGGGCAATACTGGAGAAATCCCAAGCCTCATAGAGACAAATCTCCACACCCCTAATTTCAAAAATCAGGCTCACCTAAGTGATTCTCATTTGGTAGGTGATTGCCTCACTGAAGTCCACATCCTGCAGTGATGTCGGAACCCCTCTTATGATACTTTATTAGGGCCGCTCGATTTCGGCACATGTATGTGAAGTGAACATGGGACTGACATACCAGATACCAAAAAAGGCCCCTCCGAGGGAAACAAAGTGCCCCTGGGGCCACTTGAACAGCTCATCCGCACCATAGTAGTAGTTGTCCCTGTCCTTGGTGCACACGTTTTTCGCTCTGGAGAAGCAGGGTCACACTCACCCACTCATTAGCTTGTCTAGCTCAAGAGTCTAAACTATATTTGGATGTGAGGTTTTGATAGGTGTTGCGTTTCACGTGCATTCTCCCCTTGTTTCATCTGGCTGGTGCTTCATTTCTGGCCCCTTGTGCCCCCGATCCCGAACACCAATGCCAATGACTTGCTCATGATTCGCTCCACTTGCCACTTGCTTGGCCAACAGATCCGACAGCCATGCGGCCGACAGATTCGTCACATTCCAAGTGGAAAAGGAAGACCGAGCTCAAAACTCCAAAGATCAAATCCCAAGCTTCAGCTCGAATGGTTAGCACGTCTTCAATCATCGTCTTTGCAGTGTCATGAGCCCCGCTCCTGGCAGAAACTAGTGATAGGCTGGCCTCCACCAGGTCCTTTTAGAACCTGATCAAGATTCAGGTTGTACAACCAGTGCCCCCAAAATCGATATCAAGAATTTGCCATCCAGAAGCAGTGAGCAGTTCGACACCAACCAATCATCTGGAGTCTTTGACCTCCTTTTCTTGCCGAAAGGACATAGACTCAAACATACTCAAACAGACTCTGAGGAGAACTTCAATGACCGAGTGCGATCGAGTGCGAAGGTTTTTTCGGACCCCGAAACCGATGTGGTTTAAGCCGAGCACGGGTCTGGCACCGATCCATCCGTCTATCCTGAGGGCCCAAAAGAGTGGGGAGATCGACTGACTGCCAACTTGCACCGCCAGCTGCCACACGAAACGTTCCACCTCAAGTCCGAGGCCCCGCCGAGGCCCTGCTGTGGCGACATGAAAATCATGTGAAAGATTGCGAAAGCATCTGAAATCATATGAAATCACGGAGCAATCCTTCAGCAAGTTGGCTGGCAGACCTTTGCTCTTGGCTGTGTTTGGCCTTCCCTGTTTTGGGGGGATGGTCTTGTAGATCGGAGGCATCTGTGTGGTTTCACCCTCATCAGAAAATGCCCTGAGAACCCCTATCACATGAGCAAAGCAGCACGAGGAGCGTCCGCCAATGCCCGGCGCAAACGCTTGGAATCGTCAAAGTGGATCGCCTGCCTTGGCCCAAACAGTTTGGAACCTGGCTTCTTTTGACAAAAACAGTGAGATCGATCTAATTATTCCCCGTGACACAATCATGGAAGTGAAAAAGGGTCAGTGCAAATGGGGAGGTGCAATCCGCTTCCATCGAGGATTTCGACGGAGCTTTTCCGGTGAGGTGGAAAGTGGCTTTTCATGGCCCATCCGGTCCCAAGTTTGTTCAATCGACATCACCCCAGGTCTGCATGATGTAAATAGCATGGGTTTTGTTGATGTAAATGCATCACCCCAGGTCTGTATCACTATGTGTCACTATTTACCCCCAGCCATCTGTGCTCCACAGCTCCACAGCTCCAGTCTTCTGATCTGACCACGTCCGGGACCTGCTATGCGCGGGCAAGCTGCATCACGGCGGTTGACCCATCCATAATGGTCCGCACCAGAACACGAGCAGTCAAGCCTGAGTGGTAGGTGTCAATGAACCCGTTTTGGAGCCAGGTTACCCCGTGGCAAGATGAGCAAGGAGTGGCAGCTGTGAGTGGACAACCCGATGGCACGCCGTCCAAAAATGCAATGTCATGACAGTGATGGGTTCGTCCCTAGTTCAACTTGTTCTTTTTCTGTATTGGTTCTGAGTCAAGCAGCACCCCTCGTATATTCCAGCTTGCGTGATTCTGACAACAATGATACGCAAACAGGGTGCAGCTGCATGGTACTCCTAGCCGCCAGCCAACGACAAACTCCTGAGTTCTTGTTGAGACAATCTTCCTCCGCACTATCAACAGGAAGCCAGGGAGATTCAGGGAGTGCTCTTTGATATCAATGGCAGCGGCATGTCAGACCCGCCAGCCCACCAGCCCACCAGCCCAGTGGCCGATCGACCAACGAAAGCCTTCGATCATCATGTGCTCAGGCATCTCATTCTCCTGAAATTAAGGGTGGTGACAGCCCATGAGGGCTAGGCGTATGCCTAGATGAGCCGTCAGAAAACGTCAGAATGTCCCGAGCCTTTCAACAAAAGCATAATAAAAAGCCACCTACCCAGCCATTGCAGTTAGGTTGGAGGCCATCGCTTCTAGGTTGGAGGCTGTCGCTGTTAGGTTAGGGGCCATTCCAATTAGGTTGGGAGGCCATCGCTCTCAGGTTGGAGGCCATTCCATCGCTCTTAAGTTGGAGGCCATCCAACTGACGGAGCATATATTCTGCTGACCTGCTACCAGGGTAAGGCAGGTTAGCTCCCTATCTAGTTCAGTTAAGAGTCTGGAATCTGATGCGCTCTATCCTTTGGGCACCAAATAAGCTTGGTACTCTCCTCAGTCCCACTGCTCATGGCAAATTGAAATGGCAGATCTGACATGTCTCCGAGCAAAGTTCATCAACATGTTGGGCACACATGCATCGTGTCACCTTTCTTCAGGTGATTTCCAGTGATTCCAGTCAGGAATAGCAGGACCAACAACATGCCCGGCAAATCATCGGCAAGTCAGCAAAAGTATCTTGGCACAACAGTTGCCACGAGCTATGAATGCAACCCACGATTCTGTGTCGGATCATATCAGGACAGGCGGCGGCGCAGCACAATCCAGCCAGTGTGCCATGTGTGTGTGCGTATTTATTGAGCCGTTCCCCTGATTAATTATTTCTTGCTAAAATTTGTGGGAAAGGAGGAAAGGAGAATCCAGCTGCTGCACAAGAAACTGTCGCACCTACCTGCCAGCAAAGTAAAGAACTAGTGGGGAGTGGGCTATCTGGGCTGTGTGGTGAAAGAACATCAGCTGGTCGGATGAATGATTGCTCAAATCTCCCCGCTGTGCCTTTATATAAACTATAAACATTGGATTGAATTCCGGAAGATCTTGGTGGAGGCCATCGCTGTTAGGTTGGAAGCCATTGCTTATAGGTTGGAGGCATTCGTTGGACATGCGCTTTTCCAAGAGTTTGCACCCCACGACTTGGGCAGATTTGGAGGGTTGTTTCAGAGGGATGTGGGGTGAAACTCCGTTGACGTTGACTCTGCAAACTGGGTTGGGAAATGCCATGTGCCTTCATGGGTAATCACATGTGATGACAGGTTACAACACCCTCGATCGCTCAAGGAACCTGGATCTGAAAGCATCCCCGAGACCTTCCAGCTTCAGCTTCAAACCTTTCCACTCTTCAGTCAATGCCCTTGCCCCAAGAGACCCACGGTCTTGGGAGCAAAGCCGTAAACGCCAGGACACCACGTCATTGGGAAACTCCTGGATCAGCGGATGCATCACCTGACAAATCTGAGAATGGTAAATCTATGTAAATCTCACCAGAGAGCCTCCAACCTAAACCTACTTGCGCCAACCTACTTGCGATGGCCTCCCGATGGCCTCCAACCTAGTAGCGATGGCCTCCAAGTCCAAGTCTTCCCAAGTCATGATTTTGCTCATGCGTGGATTTCTACGGGGCGACCGAACTGACCCGCCTGAACGCAAACCTCCACAAAGGGCCCAAAGAGCTCGATGGGAATGCCATAGCCTCGGCAAATCATGATATAGTAATTTGATATAGTGGCGTGCTGTGCCGCGCCCATGCGACATCGAACATCACGCGTCCGGTTCGCTCTATTTTGGCCAACGATCAGCGTTTTACAGTAGACGCATGTAGACCTGTAGAGATGCCAAATTCTTCAGTCTTCGGCACTACCAGCACCATGCCACACCTACGCACACACTGAGAAATGATTTTGGGTGGTGGAACTGTAGAAAGGTGTCTAAGCCCGGAACCTCCTGAGTCCACAACCTTCAATAGACGTAAGTACAAGGCGACACAGTCACAAATGTGTAAGAACTCATCCTTATGAACCTGCAACAGCCTGATCGATTAGAGTGTCAACTATTGTTCAAACATGGTTCGAAAAGCAGGTGCAGGAATGTGCGTCCACATTCCCTTCCGGCTGAATCCCAGGGAAACAGCTGCCATGCCCCCTGCTATTAGACCACTCGAAGCTGCATGCTCTATTGTCATGCAATCTATTCTGAACATCCGCTTGTGATAGCGGTTTACACGCGCACACACACACACAGCTGATGCCGATGTAAAGACCACGAGCTTCCAACTGCCAAACTTCAAACGCGCGGTAATCCTTCAGTTCTCTATAGAACAAAGGTTAATATAGGTTAACCATTTTCGGCCTGTTTCTTTTAGTGGGCCAAAGAAGCTAAAGGTTATCCACATGTTCCCCATTACAAGCAATTCAAACACTTGGGGCTTGGCTCCAACAACTGAGAAAAGCTTTCGGACTTTCACCACCATTTCTCGGCTATTTTCTGCGTATTTCGCTCCGTGCACCCGATCGTCCTCTCGATCGTCCAAGAAGCCAACATGACGCAAACCAAGGGCTGAGAGATCATCCAATGTTTCCTTGCTACCATCGGTGCTTCTTTTCGTCGAATCGGTGGAAGATCAGGTGATGCAAGGTGGATAGAAACTGAATAGGTTACAAGGTTACCCCCCAAAAACATCCTTGAACCATGGAAAAATCAAATCCAGCTCTGTTCCATCCTTTTGGGGTAGCAAACTCTGAAGCTGGCTGTGACAACAACTGACATACAACTGACAACTGTGACCGGGCCGGCGGGTGCACCAGCTCGATGAGAACATGTTTGGAAGAAAACCGTTTGCACATGCTCAACACTTGGCCAACAAAACCCTAGCTGATTTAGCTAAAAGCCGCGTGCAAAAGCAACTGGGATGAGTACAAGTACTGTCACGGCCATGAATGCCCACAACTCGAAGGAAGAATTCCGATGCTGAAGGAATACTGTTTCATCCACTTCGGGTCCTTTACGTTTAACGATTGAACATCGCCGATCTTTAAAAGGTGCTGGTCGCCATTCACCACACTCATCTGGAGTTTAGGGCATCGGTCCCCCAAAGCATATTCTTATCAAACCAAAGTCATGCATGCAATGAAAAAACAATGCCACCTGGAAAACCTTTTGGACAACACCAATATTTCAACGCAGTTGCTGGGGTGGCTGAGCCAAGAATACATGCATGTAGCAAACTGCACCTTCGCCTGCCTGAAGAAGCAGAGTCTGCAGCAAATCACGCGTGTCAAAGCTGATGCGGACTCTGAAACACATCCATCCAACGTACAAAATCGTACAAATTCATGTCCATGTGTATAGATATCAATGTGCTTTGTGGCTAAACTGCTGGCCAATGGCTTGCCAAAAACACAATCTGCACATACCCTGTCGGCGAAGGCCCTTTTGCTCACAGCACAGCCATCAACCATCCGTCAACGAGTCTTGAGGGGTTGCGAAATGTTATGAAAACTGCCTAAAGAGTGCTCTTTCCTTCCTAAGTTGTGGCTTTTGGAGCTCCTTCTGAGATCAAAGGTCCCCTCATGCACCGCGCATGTCCAGTTTCTCCCCTCCAAGCCATGCATCATCCTTGTTCTTTTGAAACATGTCCGAGGAGGACTGCAGCACCCGATCAGCAATGTAGCGCAGCCTGGTCTGTGACCTCAGGGTAGACTTTGATATCTTTGATCCCATTCATACGACTCATATTGACTCATGAACAAACCTCCCAAGCACATCCTGAAGGTCTCCAGCACCAATTCGTGTGCCAAGCGGCTGCTTGAAAAGGTCTTGACTTGCCTGGCTTCGCGCGAAGAATTCGGTGAAGATGTCCTTGCGGAAGCGGTCCAGCTGCCTGAGTGCTCGACCCGACCCCATTCTGCCCTGGAAGAAAAAAACGGGGTTTCACGGGCGGTCTGCGTAGGCTGCCGATGGAGAACACGGGGGAACTGTTGTGAAACAGAAAGCAAAGCTAGCAAAGCTAGCAAAGCTAGCAAAGCTAGAACTAGGGCTAGAGCTTCTGAGCTATGAAGCTGCTCTTGAGTGTTGATATGTGTTGATGCAGCAGTGGGGATATGCAATCAATCTTTCTCACTCATTTTCCTCAGGGTCAATGGCTGCCACGAACAGGTACAGAAGTCCCTGGGCCAGCCCCGCGTCTATCATCGCTCAAATCGCCCAGCATGATAATGACAGAAGTAATTTCCAGCCTTGTGATCGCCGGACCCAGGCTAACTCTGTGAATCTTGACAATAAAAATGCAAAAACAATGCAAAAAAAGCAACTGCAAGCAGCAAAAGCAAAAAAAAACCAAAAAGCAAAAAAGAAGCAAATGAAAAGGCAAAAGCAAAAAACAAACAAATCCAAAAAGCAAAAAAAACAAATGAACAAGCAACAGCCAAAAAAAGAAAAAGTGAAAGCAATTTTCCGCTCCTGTTTCGCATATTTTTTGCTTTGTTTGTCGCTGTTTTTTTCCGCTGTTTTTTTCCGGTTTGTTTGTTTCCTTTTTATAATGTTTTTGGCTTTTTTGCTCGCCCGCAGTTTTTCTGGTATTATTTTATGTGTTTTCGCATTGTCTTGTTTTTTCGCTTTTTGATTTTTTCATTTGTGTTTTTTCTTTGGTTGTTTCGCTTTTTTTTGCTTGTGCTTTTTCATTTGTTTTTTTTTGATTCGCTCTTTTTTGTTTTTGCTTTTTGTAGTTGCTTTTTTTCCCGTGTTTTTTTGCATATTATTTGGAAAACCATCAGAGATAGCCTAAGTGGTTTTCTTAATTCTATCCATCTCCACTAAGGAACGGTGCATGCGGAGATATGCTGAACAAGTTTCTCTATAGCCCCATCTTCTGCATGGACCGAGAAACTCAACACGACCAACACGATGCTGTTCCATCTTGGTTTTCAGTCTGCGAATGGTGTCCCTCAATCCCCATCATACCAGTTCAGACCACAGCCTCGGCCATTGAACCCGCCCGGGTGCTCTTCTTGCAATGAGGAGAACATCCGGATGTTGTACGGTTTGAAGGCACGCACCTTCCAGTCACAGCCGCGGGCCGGAAGAAGGGACCGCATGGAAATGGGGCCAAAGGTTGCTTCTACGGTTACACAATGTTAGACGGAGACGTATCCGATAGTAACCGATAGTATATCCCATTCACGGCTTTTTCCAGTAAAACCCGATATTGTGTTTCGTGCTAATGTAATGTAGCCGCTGGATTCAACATCTCTTGATTGATAGACCCCCCCATTTGGATTATTAATCCATATAAATCCTCTTTATGTGGGGGTTGAAATACAATCGAGAGCTTCGGTCTATGGAACCAGTCATGGGCGATAGGACGTTGAGAAACCCACACTGCCGCAAGCATGAGGCCACACCTACTCCCCACATGGCCTTCAAAAGAACACCAAAGCAGCTTCACTTGCCCTACTGTACTCGTAATTTTCCACCACTTTCCGAAACAGGTCGAAGCCTGCTGGGTTGGAAACCCCTCTTTTTCCCTGGGTGTCTCTTGGCATTCCATGTCAGTGTCAGGATCAAATATCAACGACACTTCACTGATCTGTCGCACGGGTCGCACAGGTCGCTTCACACGTCGCTTCCATCTGCCTTCATGGTCGACTCGTTCAAGTTCCGTGCCACAGTTGTCCACAACCACTCCCAGGATGTCTCATGCAAGGTGCTCCATTGCTTCGGAAGCCTTGTTGGCACCGTGCCGCCAGGGGTTTCATTTCACATGTGTGTGTTTTCCAAATTTCCAACATCCCGTTCTACTCTTCAATATGTGTTTGTCAAAGCTGACACCTCACATCCAGTGGTCAGGACTGTACCCCCATCATCCCCAATCATGGAATCCAAAAAAGACCCGGTTCCCTGGATCATCTCAACACAGATCGGTTCCAAATAAAGTCCATAAGCTCATATGCATGATTTGAGGATGGGCTCAGCCCTCAGTATGGATGGCTTCTCTGAGTCGTTTGCATGGCCCATCGTTCCTTCACGCCCAAGAGGCAAGGATCGCAAGGCTGCCAACATCACCGGCTTGAACTTCTCAAAGTCAATCGACTGAGAGAAGCAAAGCTCTTCAAGTGAGACTGCACTTGATGTCTGGCCGCTTCACGTTTATGTGCGATGCTTTTCTTGGACTCATTCGAATTGATAATAGGGAGCCATGACATGTGGGGATCAAGGATGAGCTCCGATAGAGATGATGCACAACTGAGTTTTAATGTGGGGGGCACTGGGGTTCGCTCTACCAAGTCCAATAGTTAAAATGGTATCAAGTCAATATAATTCAACAGAACCAAATGAGTGTCTTGGGGCTTGTCATTATGCTGCAGTAATTGTTTGTTGTCTCGGGCTTGCTTTGGCAAAGCAGTCCTTAAACAAAAGTCGATCAACCGGAAGACGGGGCCATTTCCTAGAGCAATGCTTCTTTTCGTTTGTGGCTAACCTGGGGACGGACATGTGAATAGCAGTGTCACCATGTCAGAATACATCAGACTTATACAACAATCTTTGAGATTCTCCGATTTGCAAAGAGTTGGTGGAGCCTGTCCCAATTCTCCACTGCTCTGGACACCCCCAGGGCCAAAGCACGTTGGACTTGGTAATCAAGTTGATCGCCAATAAGTCGCACTCCTGGCAACATAAAGAGCCCAAGCAAATGCATCAGCGGTTGAGCAAAAAGACCACCAAAGGAGCCAATCAATGAATAAGTGGATGGTCAATCATGGAATTCTTTTTGGGGGCCTCCTAGTTGGAGGATTTCATCATAGAAATTCTGACTTCTGAGAACCACTTGAACCCATCAAAAATTGGCAAGAAAATAAAGTCTGACTATAAAGATATGTTTTGAAAGTGTTTCTCACTTGAGGAAGGTGCCAAGCCCTCCAGGGCGCTGCATGCTTTTAAGCCATCTGTAGTTGCGCTGTATATCCTTGCTTGATTACGTGAAGTGGTAATCTCAACCTATCTCGCATGGCAAAAACTTGTAAATGAACCTCTATAGGCCATAGTCGTCCCTTGTGTCTGGACACATCCGAACACTCATAGCTGTAAGTGTGTGGGCTTTGGGGCATGCGGAGGACACGATCAGGCCTGTCCTCTTGCAAATGCACAGGGCTGGAGATCATATCGACCAAGATCTGGGTGCAGTTTCGGAAGGCTGGGCAGGAAAAGAAACTTCTCAGGGCTAAGGGCCAACAAGGCTAGAAGGTTGATTTAAGCGGAGATTCATGTGCACATTTACCCTCAGCTCTGCTGCTCTCTGTGTGCGTCTTTGGGTCTCAGGTTTGTCACCCGCCTAGTCTGGATCGTCCTGGATCTTCTTTGTACAATCAGTTCTTCCTTTCCATTCCTCCCATCCAAGCTCTTCTCTGTGTCAACTCGTCAGAACTCGTCAACTTTACCATCCTGGCCAAGGAGCATGAAAGACCTGAAGGAGCTCCAACATCCACCCTGCAGGGACAAGGTGTATATTCAACAATGGGCAAACCCAAATCGATATGCATAACCCAATGCAATGCCAAGCCTCAACCATAAACGGCTGCAAACTGCGTGGATAAACATACATAGATATATATACACATTATATAACAAATGTAACAAATTGCTGTGATTGGTCCTTAGCCCCATGTTACATTTCCGTCAATGGCTCAATCGCACAGCCTCTGACTCAAACAAGCAGAAATTCAGTTTCAAACAATCAAGCCAAACAATCAAGCCCCCCAAAAAAAGTATTCTGCATTCAGTGCTTCCTCCTCTCCTCTTGCATGTCTTGCTCCTGCCTTCAGTCTTCTGTCCCATGACCTCATTGCTGAAAGCGCACATCCGCCCAAAGCTGAAGGTCTCGGCCCCAGCGTCAGCCGTGTCATCTTCTTTCGCCTCGTCTGCATTTGCATTCTCTCCACCACCCGCGTTGGCGTTGTCGCCCGCGTTAGTCTTGGTCTCGTCCTTGTTCCGGTCGTCCGTAGCAGACTTCTGAACGGCAGCCCAATCTTCCTGGACAGGTTCACGAAAGTCGCTCACTTGGCTGGCAATAACTGACGCGGGAGAAGGGCCTTTACAGCTTGCCTCAACAAGACACCCAGCCTTCAAAGGCCCAACACCTCAAAGGCCCATCAAGTCATATCATCAAATCCAGGATTGAGGATCGGATGATCTTTGGGCCATCCATGGAGGTCCCACCGTTCGGTCCCACCTGGATCAGCTCCCAGCTGATCCATGGATGACCCGTTCGAAAGGCTTCCTTCCGTCTGGCCTTGATCACTCGGAGGCGCTCCCCATAGGTGTCACCCACATACCTGGCCCCACTGGGCTATGGCACATCCATGGGGGCGGTTATGATGCATCAAGATGCGTCGGATGGCATGGGCACCACGGTCCAAGATCACTTTAAGGTGGCATCATCCTTGAGGATTGAACAGAATCTGGTGCCTTGAACGAAGCCCAAGTGTCTGTTGTGGACTCCTGGACACACTGTGAATTGCTACCAGTAAGCAACATGCATATCGAAATTGACATGGACGATGATGTTCTTTTGAAGTGTCCTCGTCATCTTGTTTGCTGGGTACTTGATATTACTTGGCTGACGTCTCTCAACCGCTCGGATAAAACGTCCATCGTGCCCATGTCGCGCCTGTAGCAGGACCCGGTGTAGCTCAACAACTTGCGCCAGGCAGCGGCTGTGCCTGGCGGCAGGTTCGGCCTCAGAGCGGGGAATTTTTTCTCGACAAACGACAGCGGAAGGCTAAGCGCGAGGTTCTCCATCTGAGCGTCTGCCCGAAACGGTGCGCTTTCGTACGGAGAATGAACCAGGAACACAAGGAACAACAGCATTCTGCAATGCTTTGCTGGGACGTGGTCGCTTTTCCAGGTTTCAGCCCCTCACCTGAGTCTCTCGAGCCTCGGGTTTCCACTCTCTCACCCCACCCTGTGTCACGTCAAGCTGCACATTCTGCACCATGAGCTCATGAAACGCGTCGAGCACTGCATCCACACGTTGCTCAGTGATTTCGTTGTTCAAATGCCTCACGAAAGTCGAACACGACGCCCGTCGGCCCATGAAGGACGAGAAAAGACCCAATCAGAGGGGCTTGCAAAAATGACTCTCACTTTTTTTTGACTCTCAGTTTTCTTGTTTCTGATGCTAATGATTTTGATTCTGATACTAAAGAAGAGGGGGAGGAAGAAGATGACGCGTATTATTTTGCTTTTGATACTAAAGAAGAGGGGGAGGAAGAAGATGACGCTAATGATTTTGATTTTGACAGAAGAAGAGGGGGAGGAAGAAGATGACGCTAATGGTTTTGAGTTTGATCCTAAAGAAGAGGGGGAGGAAGAAGATGAAGATGCTCTCAGTTTTCTTATTCACCTTTGATTTGGATGCTAAAGCAGAGGGGGAGGAAGAAGAAGAAAATGCTGTCAGAATATTGGATGCTAAAGCAAAGGGGGAGGAAGAAGAACTTGTCATGGGCCGGCCGTTCGATGAACAAACGTGCAGCCACCTACCATCGGGGGTTGGGGTGCGTTCTGGGTGGTTTTGAACTTTTGGTTGACTTGTTCAATTTATCATGGGCCATTCGATGAACAAACGTTCTGCACGATCATCATAACTTACCATGAGGCATTGGGGTGCGTTCTGGGTGGTGGGTGGTTGGTGGACCTGGGGTGGTGGGTGGTTGGTGGACCTCTACATCGACCTGGGTTTCTCCAACGTGCACCTGGCATGATTTGTCACTCAGTCAGATTCAGTCAGATCAGTCAGTATCAGCTGCAACTTCATGTTCATAGTCAGTTTCAAGATTAGCTATCGAACTCATGCCAGTTGTAAAAATGTCAATTTACTATTCTGCCTATCTTTTGGCCGGAAGGAGGACATAATTGTGGATCATCAAGGAAACAACTGATAGCTAAGCATGAATGAATGGTTGATGCCAAAGAGTAACATAATTCATCAAAACAGAAGAGTACAGGCAAAGGCAACACAGGGAACACAAACAAAAAACAAAGACTCCATAGATACATTGATTGAATCATTGAACCATTCGCTGATATTCGCGGGCAATGTCGGGATCGGTAGCACAGGGAGCGCAGGGAGCATCAGGAGCATGGGGATCAGGATATGCAACGCCACCTCCACCTATTGCTCCTTGCCAGATGACAGTGGTGCAGTATTTCCACCTTTGTCACTGTGTAGTAGTAGTCACATGTTCTATTGACTCCTTCAATGACTTAGTAGACTGTGATCGCCACTGTTGAGAACGTGTTGAACATCCTGTTTCGAGGGTTTCCTTGTCACTCGTGGCTTGCTCGTCCGTGCAGCAGCTGGATTGTTGGCTCTGTTTCCATTTGAGCCACCTGAGGTATATGTTCAACTCCAAATCCAAAGCTTGCACGCTGAAACTTTCTTTGCTTTGAGAGAGTCTTGGCTGCAAGTTTTCAATTTAAAAATGTTCAATAAGTAAGAACTTGAGATTTGAATTGACAATTCATGTGTTTGACCATCTGAATTATAATCTTTGGACTCAGGATGTCAACGAGTTTATCGGGCTCCTTGAGGAAGTGCTTGACGACCCAAATCAGAGGAGACCTGTCCTACTGCGCTTGGAGTTGTTCAGGACCAGTCTGGAGGAAATCCTGCAGTACACAAGGTCGCTTTGCAGGTTCTTTGCTGTTGACTGTGACCCAGAGTAGGCGGCAGGATGTTTTTTGTCACTGGACTTCACTTCACCAAGAGGCAACCACTGTTTGAACGACTATTTCAAGTCCCATCAAGCCCGTGTGTGGTCCTTTGGTCAAGTGATGAATGGTTCACACAGTTGAACTCACAATGATAAAGTCGATTGTGAGTATCAATTTTTGAACGGAGCTCAGCGAATGATAGCTGCTCACGTGAGGTTGAGATCTTTGAAGGATTCACAGTAATTGTCAATCGCTGGTGATTGACTCATCCTCACCGAGATGGTCCACTGAAATGAGTCCCTAATTAACCTTTTCAGGCAGAGTCCTGACCCATTGAAGTGGGCGCCCTGTGAGAAGTTTCGCTGTTTCTGAATCACATTCACATTCACATTCACATTCAATCACTCATTCAATAATTTCACATTCTTAACGTTCACATGCTCACATGTCTTTCTATCTCACATCGTTGCTAAATCTGCTGTGCAACTCCCATGTCGTCCCATGCCACTGTGTCACTAGAAGGCGGTCCACCATTCTGTCATGACTGACATTGGACATGAACAAATAAACTGACATTTCAAGTCAACCGAGCCAGGTCCTCAACATACCTTCGACTTGCTGCACCTGTGCTGGAAGGCAAGGATGTGTCGTCGTGTTCTGTCATTTGTTGATCGCGCGTGTATACCTTTAAGGTTTTAACTTTTGGGCTGCGGGTGGATTCACTCACCGATTCTGATTCTGATCCATGGTTTCCGAGTATTTTTTATATCGTGACTGTTTCTTGAATTTGATGTCATGACAGGAGTTTGATTCATTTAATGTTTCCTGGTTTTTGCCAACCACCGATCCATGGCCCTTTGTGGATCAAATGAAGGCGGCCTTCATACCCTCAGAGGGAGCACATCAAGCAGTTGCCACACTCAACTTGTTACCACACTCAACTAGTAACTAGCCTTCAAACTGACCTTCAACTTGCCGCACTCACAGTCAGATCAGATAAAATGTCATTTGCAGATCGAATCACAGTCAGATCAGATTCAGTCTTCAGCCGATGAGAAGATTCAATTTCAAGCTTTTCAACCCTCAGCTTCAAGTCAGATTCAAGTCATCAGATTCAATTTTTCTGCCTGCATGCCCTCCAACTCCATAGCGGTGGCACAGCTGCCGGAGAAGTACTTGAAGATCGCCTTGCAGCTGGATCGCGCTGGCCAGCAGACTTTGTTTCTGCTGTACCTTTGCTGCAAGTGGACACATGATGACACATGAGTGGCCAACTGAGATCATTCATTGGCCAACTGCCATGGATTCCGCATTGCAAACATTTCAAGGTGGAAGCTGGATCCTGCTCTGTCCGATCAGGCGTAGCTTGGAACAACTTTTGCTAACCCATGCATTGCAACTGCAAGCTTGTGTCATTGCTTTGTTTGCTTGTGTCATAGTTGCGCACGAGTTGTGGTGTAGTGGAACTGGATCTGAGGATTGGTGAATTGGAGAGCGGCCGCGTGTACAACTATGGCGGGTGCTTGCACTGGAAATACGTGGAGCGTGCCTCGCTGGCCACGAAAGGTCGCCATTTTCGCTTGGCCCATCAAAGGGATGAGGACGAGAGCTGCTTGGTTCACATTAAGATTTCAGACGCATGCCCATGGTATCATCATTCTGATCAGGTTGCGTTTTCATGCCACGGGCTTGCAGCTCTTACCGTGTCTTCTAAGGCCCAGGCCCACCTTCCAAACGGCAGCGTCGTTGACCGTCCTCAAGACATCATCTTTGAAGTGGCGGACCACATTTCAGTTCAGTGCCACAATTTGTGTTGGATGCTGGAGTGTCTTGCTTGCACTTATTGATGTTCAATTGACCTTGACTTACTTGCTTGTGCATTTTCTTGTCATTTGTTGGTTGTTGACTGGTTGTTGACTGACACATACTTACATGGCTATTCCTGCTGAGAACCCACATGCCCAGGAGCGAGGAGCATGACCGCGCCGCCATTGATCGATCCATCTTGAAGCACTGCGGCTTGGTGGCCAGGGTGCGGGAAAGCGATGCTTGGCTGCATTTTGTTTGATAGTCTTGGAGTGCGTGTTCGGTGTCTTGAACCATTGATTCACATGTTTTGCGGGGTCTTGAACCATTGATCATGTTTTAGCATCTTAGGTGCTCCGGAATCCCAACACAACTCGCGTTATGTGGCGGTTGTTTAGCTCTCCTGCCATCTTGGTCTTGATCAACTGCTCGGCTGGGTATCACAGAGCCACCACGGTCACCGCGATCATGTATGCCTGGTTGATGGTCTTTTGGCGACAATAGTTTTGTGATTTAATTTTGCTTGCACGCTTCTTGCTTGGGTTATGCCATGTTACGCCATGAGTTCACGAGCGATCACTGAGGACCAGGGCGTGGAGGTGGTGGCTGCGATCATGTCCTTATCAGGCAATTGGCCCGCGGACTTGACTGCGGTTTGGGGCTTCATCCATGGCCAGCTTGGCAGGTATCTTGGCAACCAATGAATGAATGAAACGTTTTGTGAAGCAATTGTCAAGTGTTCATGTCAACATTCATTCAGGCCATCTGCATTCACTGATTTTTTGAGGATGCCAGCCATGAGGGGCATCGCCCAGAACTGCGGCCAGCATATGTGGGGGCTGCAAGATTTTGACAATCGGACTCGGCAAGCCCTCCGAGCATTCCAGGCGATTCATCCACCAGCCGTGAATTGGAAGCTTGGATTATTTAGCGCCTATGGCAGGTGGCAGCATGAGTCGCTTTCTTGGGGGGGCGGTAGAGGGTCCATGCAGGGGGCGGTAGAGCTTTTTT